ACTCTGATAACTTAAGGGGGAAAACTCAGAAAGGAATTTTTCCTATTTACATCCAAAAAGTCCTTTGTACCAGGAGGAGAAGAGGCGGGAAGACAAGACCCATCCCCTGAAAAACCCTGGCCTAAATGTAAACTGTGCGCTCAGCGCTCCGCCTCTCCGCTGAGCCGCCCGCCTGGCCTGCCCAGGTGTATTCTCTCCACTCAACCATGTAACCTCGCTCTCCCCCAGTCTGAGCGACTGGGCACTCTCAGGTTCTGTCTGGAGAGGTGCCCATCTGTCCTTACAGACGTCCCTACCCTAAATAAACCTTGCTATTTTGCTTTCTACTACTCTCTGCCTCATGCCTGAATTCTTTCTTGCACGAAGACAAGAACCCTTGCTTCCCTGGTAACACTCCCCAACCATCCTGCCGCTTTGGGCCACTGCCAGCTGCTGAGAACGTGGGTTTAAGAAACCAGGCAGAGGAGAAATCCAGGTGGGAGGGTGAGTGCTGGAGCCAGGCAGTGGGAGTGGAAGGGTTCTGAGAAATCCATTCACCTGGTGGCACAATGGTAGTGTCTGACTCCAAGAAAAAGGTAAAGACAGAACCAGCAGCGCTCAGGGGAACCAAGGGGCAGGGGCATCTTCCAGGCTTTTCGACAATGGCTGGCTTGGGTCACGACTTGGACAGTGACGCTAACTCAGAACAAAGAAGGATGAGCTTGGTAAGGAAAGGTCGGGTTTAGCATGTGGCTGCAGGTGCTGGGAGGCAGCCAGGTGGAGGACGCCAACTCACGCAACAGAGAAGTCAAAGGTTCTGCAACGGGTGCTAGAATTGCAGAAGAGGACAAGACTGCTTCCTGCCGAGTGTTAGGTTCTAAGAAGCTGGTCCCAGGAGTTGCTCGCACTCACATCTCATAGGAAATGTTCACAATCCCCATTCCTTGACCCCAACCCAGTTTACAGAATCCTATCTTCAAGGTGGGACATCTTTCTTCTATGAATAGCTCCTATGTAGCATAAAGGTTAGGGAGATTTTCAAATCAAGAACCAGCTCCAAAGTCAGAACTGCATTCAAATTTTAACCCCAAGCATTAGCCATGTGATCCTGGACAAGACACTTAGTCCCTGTTAAGCCCCTGTTTCAAACCCGGCCATGTCCTCCTAAACAAGCAGGGTCACCGTGAGAATGAGACTGTAAATGCACAGAACCCAGGACTGCGCAGCAACTGGCAGCTGGTTTTCTTTTCAAAGGGCAGTCTCATCACCCGCCATTAGCATCCTGCACAGCACCTGCAGCTTGTTGCGTTTTTCAGTTTTGTTAGGGGGAAGTGGGAGATTCTTTTTTGGCATGTGTCTTTACCCTCCCCCTCCCATGAGACTTAGAATGGGAGCTTCCATGAGACAACCCCCTGAATTTGGGAATCAAGGACTAAGGTGACAAAAAATGAAAACACTTTAAAAAGGGGAACAGGGCGGGGTTTAGCACAGCTTGGGATGCCCACATCCCATACTGAAGTGCCTAGGTTCGAGTCCAGCTCTACTCCCAATTCCAGGTTCCTGCTGCTGAACACCATGGGAGGCAGCAGGTTATGGCTCAGGTGGTTGGGTCCCTACCATGCACCCAGGGAGACTTGCACTGAATTCCTGGCTCCCAAGCATTTGGAAAGTGAACCAGTAGATGGGAGGTCTCTCCCTTCCTCCCTCCCTCCCTTGCTGGCTCATTTTCTTCCCCACCCTCCCTCTCTGCACTAACCTCTCTCTCCACCTCTCAAATAAAATTTAAAAAATTTAAAGGGCTCAATCCCTTTTTGACATTTCAAAGCCACTACATGTTTTAGTTCTCACTGTTTCTATTTTTAAAAGAGATTACCCTTTTCTTACCTCCAGGTTTCAATATCAAACTTCCTCCAGCCTAATACTTTGTAGTGACTACAAGTAGTATGAAAATCATACAGTAGTACCAAGAAATGCACCAAATGTATACAGACAGCAATCATGTGCATGTATACAATGCAGACACATATGTATCATCATAATTACAACCATGATAAAGAAAGAAGAATGGAGGGGCCAGTGCTGTGGTATAGTAGGTTAAGCCTCTGCCTGCAGTGCCTACATCCCATATGGGTGCTGGTTCAAACCAGGCTGCTCCACTTCCGATCCAGCTCTCTGTTGATGCACCTGGGAAAGCACTGGAGGATGGATTAAGTTCTTGGGCCCCTGCAGCCATGTGGGAGACCCGGAGGAAGCCCCTGGCTTGAGACAGCCACTGGCGGCCATTTGGGGAGTGAACCAATGGATGGAAGACCCCTCTCTTATCTCTCCCTCTCTGTCTATAACTTTATCTCTCAAAGAAATAAATGTTTAAAAAGAAAAGAAAGAATGGAAAGGAACATACCAAAATGCTATAGCAATTATACTGCAGAATCGTGAATAATTAGAATCACTGGTGAGCTTTGTTTTCCCTTTAAACTGTTTTGGGTACAGTTTTACAACAGAGTTATGTTGGTTTTATCCCAAGCTTTCACGTTCATGATTATTACAGAAAAACTTCTATCTAGCTTGTTTACTTGTTATTTCAAAATATTTGAGTAGCTACTGAGTGGCAGGTGCTGTTCAAGGGCCCAAGACACGCAGATGAGACGGGGTCCCATTCCTTAAGAGCCTCAGCCTGCCGGAAGAAACAGACCCAGAAACAACTGCCTGCAAACCAGGAGAAAGAAGGCGGTGATTAAGGCTTTGGACAGGGCAGGAAAAGACAGGGATGATGGGGAAGCTGGGCCACAAGAACACTAATGCCTTTAGCTGCTCTGTGGTTCCGCCCACTCCCAGGACCGACAGTTAACACCTCTGGGATGGTATTTAAATACCCTACTCTGACTCCCCAGCCTCCCACACCCAGCTTTCTAAATCAGAAAAAACAGTCCCGCAATCACCAGGAGACATTTGCTTTGTGTCAGTCGGTGAGCTAACAGGTTTCTTTTTTTTCTAAGTTGTATTTATTTGAAAGGCAGAGTGACAGAGAGGGAGACAGAGACACACATTCCACCATCAGAGAGAGAGAGAGAGAGAGAGAGAGAGAGAGAGAAGAGAGGATCTCCCATTTGCCCACAATGGCCAGGGTTGGGCCAGGCTGAAGCCAGGAGCCAGGAACCTCCTTGGGTCTCCCACACTGGGGGCAGGGATCCAAGCACTGAGGCCATAATACTCTACTTTCCCAGGTGTGCTAGCAGGGAGCTGGATTAGAAGCAAAGTGGCCAGGACTCAAACCATCACTCTAATATGGGATGCCAAACCATGCTAGGCCACAATGCTGGCCCCCAAATAATAGATTTCTCTGCACAGTCTCATTTGATCCTCACTGTGGACTACGTAAGTAACCAGAGAAAGACAACAACAGAGGAGATTGTGCAGGTCTTTGAGTATCTATAAACACTGTGACAACCTCCACATGGTCTTTAACCCTAGATCCTTTCTACCGAAGTGTGACTGTACCATCCCTGGGAGCTTGCTGCACACGCAGCCTCTCACGGCCCTTCCAGAGCAACCACATTGGACACTGCATGTTAGCAGGAGCCCCAGGTGACGATACTGAAGTGATGAGTATAACGTGTGGCATCCTAGCAGCTGGTCAACCTCAACACTGGATAGACCAGCCTGAACCCTATCAGTCAGAAGTTGTAGAAAAAAAAAAATCAGCAATGAATAATAATGAAACAAAAATACTCTAGGCCTAAATTAATGTCTGTATGCCAAACAAAAAAAGTGACAAACCTTTTAATCAATTCAGAAATGTACACTGTTAATGCCATTTTTTCCTATAAGACATCAGTACAAACCATAGTAGTGCCAACCGTCCCTAGAAGAGAAAAACCAGCAGTGTCCTCAAGCAATGAAGGAAAGAGACCATCTGCTCTTCCTCCCCTCAGAGTTATACCTGATGGTGTATGCACTTGACCACCTGCAAACTATTTACAGGGGTAAGATTATCCTCTTTGGGTCCAGCACTGTCCTAGCGGGTAAAGCTGCCGCTGCCTACAGCTCTGGCATCCTATATAGGCACCAGTTTGAGTCCCAGCTGCTGCACTTCCGATCCAGCTCCCTGCGAATACACCTGGGAAAGCGGCACAGGATGGTTCAAGTGCTTGGGCCCTTGCACCCAGGTGGCAGACCCAGAAGACGCTCCTGACTGGCCTGACCCAGACCTGGCTTCTGCAGCCAACTGGGGAGTGAACCAGCAGATGGAAGATCTCTGTCTCTCCCTCCCTGTAACTCTGCCTTTCAAATAAGCAAGTCTTAAAAAAAAATTATCTTGCTTGAAATTCAGGTTGCCTTAGGTCACATTGTCAACATCATAGAATTTAAAGGGACAAAGCAGGGGCTGGCACTGTGGCATAGGGGGTACAGCCACCACCTGCTGTGCAGGCATCCCATATGGGTGCCGGTTCTCGGCTGCTCCACTTCTGATCCAGCTCTCTGCTATGGCCTGGGGAAACAGAATAAGATGGCCCAAGTCTTTAGGACCCTGCACCCAAATGGAAGACCTGGAAGAAGCTCCTGGCTTCAGATCAGCTCAGCTCCAACCATTACTGCCATTTGAGGAGTGAACCAGCATATGGAATACTCCTCTCTCTCTCTCTCTCGGCCTCTCAAATAAATAAATCTTTAAATAATAAAGAGAGAAAGCAATTTCCCATGAAAAGTATGAGCATCAGAATGAGAGGGAGAGAAAAGAAATGAACCTGTTAGTCTTACTGGAGTCAAGAGCACCTGGGCCCACAACTCCCAAGTACAGGGGAAAGAGCAACTGGATAAGCGGAAAACTGACAGTGGGGTGGGAGAGACGTTATGGGGGGGAAGCCATTGTAATCCGTAAGCTGTACTTTGGAAATTTATATTCATTAAATAAAAGTTAAAAAAAATTTAAAAAAAAAACTGACAGTGAATTTTGTGCAAGAAAACAGCAAATGCTCCGTGAGTCCTGCTCACCAGGGAGTGAGCCAGTGCATCACACTCACCTAGCAGGGCAGCCACGATGCCCACAAGCCCTGTGCCAGCGCCCAGCTCCACGGCAGAGCAGCCCCTGAGCTCCACGGCTCCCATCTCCAGATACGTGGAAAGTACGATGGCCTGGGTGGAAACACAGCACAGATTTATGATGAAGTCAACCAGTGCTCTCAAATCTGCAGGGCTGCAGGTCACCACACACACACACACACACACACACACACCTGCTTCAACTCCACACCTCGGAGTTTAGCTGCTGCTGCAAGGCCACCTGTCCTAGAGCAGGCACAAAGCACTCCAGAGGCCCCTATCAGGGACACCAGTGCTCAGCAGCGCCACTCACACAAGACAAGGGCCTGCCGGAGGGGGGAATTCAGTGCTTAGACAGGAAGAAGCGACACGCTCACCCCCTGCGACTGTGTTTACAGGAAAGGCCGGTTCCTAAGCCAGGATCAGGGCAGTGGGGCTACAACCCCACTCCCACGGGGAAAGGAGCCCAGTGCCTGGGGCTCCCTGAGCTGCTGTCCACTTCTGTGTGGGGGAGGAGAGGATAAACTGGCAAGCCAGTTGGCTCTGCAGCCCATCCTATACAAGCAGTATCCTGCTGCTGTAACTTTTCGCTATGCATGCTGGGGGCATCACTGACAGCTCTGCTTCCTGTTGAGTCTTCAGGGCTTCCCATTCCTTGCTGTTATTTGATTCCTTGTTACAGCACTAGTTTTCACAGGGTTACCTTGGCCTGAGTTTCTAAAGGCCTGTTGCTGGCAAGTCATTTCACTTCCCTCAGCTTTCATTTAGGCACCTTTAAAAGGCAATCCCCATGGGGACACAGAGTTTGTGAGAGCCTAAGGACCAGGGCAGTGGTGGTGGTAGGGATGAAAATCTATACTGAGGCCGGCGCCGCAGCTCAATAGGCTAATCCTCCGCCTTGCGGCGCCCGCACACTGGGTTCTAGTCCCGGTCGGGGTGCCGGATTCTGTCCCAGTTGCCCCTCTTCCAGGCCAGCTCTCTGCTGTGGCCAGGGAGTGCAGTGGAGGATGGCCTAAGTCTTTGGGCCCTGCACTTCATGGAAGACCAGGAGAAGCACCTGGCTCCTGCCTTCGGATCAGCGCTGTGTGCCGGCGGCAGCAGCCATTGGAGGGTGAACCAACGGCAAAGGAAGACCTTTCTCTCTGTCTCTCTCACTGTCCACTCTGCCTGTCAAAAAAAAAAAAAAAAAAAATCTATACCGAGATGGTGATGGCTGCACTGCCACGTGAATATACTAGCAGGTGAAGAGTATGGTATGTGAATTATGCCTCCACAAAGCCGTGGGCCTTTGGCTTTTGCTTTAAATGAAAACCAGTCTTATAACCAAGTGTGGACGATTTCAGAGCCCCCCACCCCAGGGCTCACTCACCGCATCCCAAACCACTGCAGCGACTCCCAGGTGCCGCCAGTCCTGCCGGATCTGGATCGTGTGGTTTGCGAAGGAGAAGGTGGCAAGCGGCTTGTGGAATTTCTGCAGCCCGACTCCCGCGGTCTCCTCATAGGGCACCAGGGCCATTGCACCCGTGCCCAGCCCTCCGCTCACACCTGTCGAGCAATCCCGGGTGCCCCTCAGCTCAGAAAGTGCGTGTTCTCCTAAGGAACTCCAAGTGCTTTTAAGGTAGATTTACAAGTTCAAAAGAAGAAACGGCACGGGGGGGGGGGGGTGTTCGTCTAATTTCTCTTGCGTGGTTCCTCCTATGAACCTCATAGGAAGTGAGATTTGCTCTGGGTTCCGGCCATGCATGTCTTTTGGCAAAAACACCCAGAACGCTCCAGCTCCGGCCCGACACCCTATGCACCGCCGGGTTCCACTCCCCGAAGCCGGAGCCGCGCAGAGCACCGGGGCCGGAACTCGGGGGTCCGCCCGCCTGCATCTGCTGCAGCCGGCCGCCGGGCGGCTCGCGCTCTCCGCTGCTTCGGTCTCCCCGCTAGATCCGGGCGCTTAACCGTGACTACACGGGCCTGAACCTGCGCTCACACTGGCTGTTTCCGGGGTGATTATCCTGCCTTTGAACAACGTCTACCCTGTGCCACCTCCTTCAGAGTCCTCGTCACTGGCTGCCGGATTCCGAGCTGCTGGCCCCGGGTGCGGGGCAGACCCGGCGTCCGCCGCTCGCAGGCCTCCCCGAAGTCCCCCTAAACTTGCACCGCCCCCAACTCCCGAAGGGCCGGCGGGTGCTCCCTCCCTTCCAGCGGACCCCAGAGCTCCGGGAACCGTCGGGAATTGGAAAGGGGAACGGGAAGGCGGGACCCCAGGGCTCTTCGGAGACCACCCCTCCCCCAGGCTGTGCAGGTCATCCGCTGCACTCCGGAGACGCCGTGAGCTCCTGGGCGGACGGCGCCCCCGAGACGCAGCCACGCGGCTACTTACGGCTCGGGAGGCGGCCCCGCGTCGCCCGCGCCACGCTGGCCCTGCCCCAGGCTTGGTTGCGGAAGCCACCGGCCTTAAAAAGCCCCAGAGCCCGGAGGCGGGGGCAGGCGGGCGGTGCCCGCCCCGAGACACGCGTTTCCGGTGCTCCCCACCCCCCCAGTCTGTTGCGGGACAAGTGCTCTCGGCGCTCCGGGGACGGAGCCGCGGGCCACCGGGGGACGCCGAGCAGAGACTTGGGGACCTGGGCTGAGCACCGGGTCATGGCCGCGTGGAGCCGCACGGTTTCCGGGAGCCTAATCCGTTTGTCCCGCCGCCGCGGAAAGCTGGGGGTGGGGGCTCGGAGGGCGTTGGCGCTCAGGCTAGGTGAGCCTGGGTGGACGCGGCCCCGTGCTGTTTCCCTCGCGCTCGCTTGCGCGTTTTGCTTTTTAGTGTTAAACTTGGTCAGCGGACGCATGAGAAAGTTCACTCCAAGGAATGTGTGGTCGCCGGTTCGTCTGATTGTCTCCAGAAACGACGTAACCGCCCGCTTGGTGGTAACGGAGTGGAAGCGTCACAAAGGCCCTCTCAGCTGAAGCGCGAAGTGGCGGGGGCAGGGGGCGCCAGGGCTCGGGCCTGGATTTTTAAATGGACCTTGTGGGCGCGGCGGGGGCTCCGGGCTCTCGGTGGACCCGCGATCCGGACCCGGGCAGTTGCTGCCGAGTCTAGTGCCTCGTGGGGTAACCGGCTAGTGCACCTGCCCTGTAGATCCCAGTGGAGGGCGCGGGGCTGAAGCACGGCCTTCTCTTCCAGACCGGGACCCCACAGTCCCGCACCCACCCCGCAGCGATTCTCAAGGCGGGACTGCGCCACCGAAAGAATTGGCGCAAACTCCCGACACACGGACACCAGCACTCTGCCTCTCGGTTATGTGGGAGAGACGCGGAGAGCTCCGGGGGGAGCTCCCGGGGGATCCCTAGGTGCGGCCCGCACAGGCGGGAGCCACCCTCATCCCACCCCCATCCCGCATAGGGCCCCGGCCTCTCTCCAGACCTTGCCCTGCGAAGAGAAGGCTGGGGCCAGGGGCAGCCGCAGTGACTTGAAGTGAGCCTTTTGTTTGCTTCTCTCTCCGCTGTTCCTCTCCTTTTTCCTTCTCTTAGCTCCTTGTCTTTCACCTTCTGCCTCTCAGCTTTCCTTTTCCTTTTTTATACCTCTCTTTTTAGTCTTACTTTCTCTTCTGTTTGTCCCTTTCCTTTGGCAAGCCATCATTAGACACACACACAAAAGACTATGAACGTTGGGGTAAAAAAAAAAAAAAAAAAAAAAAAAACGCGAAATTTTAAATTCTGCCTCTGCCAATTTAAAAATAGTTCAGTTGTATGAAAGGTGGAGAGACAGATCTCCCATTTGCAGGTTCACTCTCCATATTCCTTCAACAGCCAGGGCTAAGCCAAGTCCGGAGCCCAGAACACAATCCAGTTTTGCCACGTGGGTGGCCAAGTATTTGAGCCATCACCTGCTGCCTCCAAGGACTGAAATTTGCAAGAAACTACAATTGGGCCCAGTGGAACTTGAACCCAGGCACTGGGATATGGGATGTAGGTGTCCTGAGCAGTTTCTAAATCTACTCACCAAATGCCTGCTGTGGCTGTGACACTTTAAATGGGATGACCTTGACCTCATCAGGTATCAAGTGTCTCAATCCCAAAGCCTGGCACAAAAATTCCAGTCCCTGACCATTTCTTCTCCGTGTTCTCCATCTGTTTTACTGAAATCATTATATGACTTTAAAAAGCAAACAGGTAGACATTTGGCCTAGCAATTAAAAGTGCCTGGGTTCAAGGTTTGCATCTAGCTCCTGACTCCACCTTCTTGCTAATGCAGATTCTGGGAGGCAGCAGTGATAATTGAGTTCCTTCTGCCATATTGGAGATCTGGATTGGGCTCTGGGCACCTGGCTTTGGCCCAGCCCAGCCCAGCCCCCAAAACTGTGGGCATTTGTGAAATGAATCAGTGAATGGGAGTGTGCTCGCTCTCTCAAATAAGTGAAAAAAAAAAATTCCCAATCTCTTCAGTATTCTGCTAAGGTAGGACATTAACTTCATTATGTTTACTTAGAGGTTATCTGGAAAGATGTCATTGACTTTCAGCAGTAATACACAAGAGAGCCATTGAGCCCTACCTACCAACATTCTAATTGGTGCCAGCCAGCTCAGGACGACCGACAAGAATATTTAGGACCATGCACAACTTGTATAGTAGCATAGATGTTAAGCAGAGCACTGTTTGTATCAGAATAAACCAAAACAGTCAATGATTCCCTGCAAATATTGGAAAGTAAATATTTACTACTCAAGGGAAAAATTGAGTGTGTGGTAGACTGAATATGGATTTTTTTCTTTGAGAGACTGAAAGAGCGTCCGTCCACAGGCCCACTCTCCAAATGCCCATGATAATGACTGGAGCTGGGCCAGGGCAAGAGGCAGAAGCCAGGAACACACAGTCTAGGTCTCCCACATAAATGAATGGTAGAGACAGAACCACTAGAGCCATCACCTGCTGCCTCCCAGAATACACATTAGCAGGAAGCTGGAATCAGGAATCAGAGCTGGGACGGGAACCCAGGTGATTCTGTATGGGATGAGACTATCTCAGCCAGCATCTTAACTGCTGCATCAAATGCCTGCCCCATAAATATTACATAACATACTCAGTCTATCTTCTTTTTTTTTTTTTTTTAAAGATTATTTATTTATTTGAAAGGCAGAATTAGAGAGGGAGTCAGAGAAAAAGAGAGATCTTCCATCTGCTGGTTCACTCCCTAAAGGGCTGCAATGTCTGGGTTGGGCCAGGCTGAAGCCAGGAGCCATGTGCTTCACTACACAGGTGCAGGGGCCCAAGCACTTGGGCCATGTTCCACTGCTGTCTCAGGTGCATTAGCAGGGACCCGAAAGGCCACAACACAGCTGCTGGCACCTGTTTTTCTGACACTCCTCCTGAAGACAATTTTGATTAACCTTGGGAGGCCTTATTTGCATAACAAGAACTTTATATGCATTCCCTCCCACAACATCAACACCTATCCCCATGCAGCCGCAGGCCCCTGTTCCTTTCTGTGGCCTAGGATGCCAGATCTTGCACATATAAACTTTGTGCACCTTTTCTCTGGTTTATTTCATAAATTCAAGTACTAAGCTTTGAGAAGGTGGACAAAATGTGCTCTTTCCTCTACAATAGCTCTAATGCATATCTAAAATTGTCCTTTCCCACTCATGTGACACCTCGCCAGAGAAGAATGGCAGAAGGGCGCTTATCCTTTTGTCCCTCCAGTTTTCTGGAACTAGCCCATGTACAAGGTCACAATAGAAGCATCCTTGGTACAACTTGATCCCGCCCTCTGCCTAGGGACCAGGGAGTAGAGAATTCTCTCTGCAGAGCAAGAATTCAGAGCGGCTGTTGGACATCTGTTGTTATCGCCTGCCCAGTATTTATTTCCCATTTTCCTGGTAGCAGTTCCCTTCTGCTAATGGTCGAGAGCAAGCTCAGCTTCTGGAATCCAAGTTCCACATCAGCTGCCAACCCTGCAGTTCACAGGCAATTCTCAATTACAACAGGGTTACATCCCAAGCAAGGAAACCTGTCTTGTTGAAAATATCATAAATAAGAAATCCATTTCTACAACTGACCTGCGAAACACTACAGCTCAGCCACACACAGTACCCTGTAGAGAGCTGGTTGTCTATTCCTGTGATTGTGTGACTGGGTGCTGTGGCTTATGGTCCCTGCCCATATCAAGAGAGAACACCATGTATCACCACCCTGGGAAAAGATAAAAAAAAAAATCAAACTATGGTTGCTACTGAGTTTGTTTCACTTTTGCACCATCACAAAGTTGTAAAATCATAAATCAACCCATTGTAAATCGGGTACTATACTACCACTAGGGCTTGGGTGATGTGCATATTAATCTATGTCTCAAGTTCCTTATCTGTAAACTAGGGGTAGTGTGATGATCGAATTAGTAAGCAAAAATGATGACAGCCTGGGGTTAACGGGTTTACCTACCTAGAACAGCACCCAACAAACTATGCTAGACACAGCATTTGGTGCTATGGTTATGTGTTTGGAGGAACAAACAAGGAAAACCCAGCGGTCCCAGGAAAACAGGCCTGGGTGGAAGGAGAAGCTGCCTCTTGGTGGTGCCCTTTGACCACCTGCACCCAGCTGGCCTGCAGTTTTTGGTTCTGTGAGCTGTTAAATTCCCTCATCAGCTTGTCTGTTAGAGCTGCTTTTTCTGTGCTCTGCAGAAGGTAAACAATCTGAACAAGTCCAGAGTTGGGCCCTTGAACAAAGGCGATGTGAAGTCCCCGGTGTGGGCTATCCTCAGCATGCAGTGTAGACGCAGAAGCCAGGCTAAGAGAGCAGATTCAGACAGAAGCCTGGAGCATAGCCCCAGCCTTCCCAGTGACTTGCCCTGAGCCGTTCCTGGCTGCACCTGGGCTCTCAGGTCCCATGGGATACCACTGTAACCTAATAAACTTCCTTTTCTTGCCAAGCTGGCTTGAGTGCCTGCTACAGTGACAACCAGACTCCCTGTGAAGAGTGTGTTTTTAATTTTCTTGGAGGAAGTGATATAAACAGAATATAAACATTCTACAGGAACCTCCTACATGACTTGGTGATGGCTAACTGGCTGTCCTGTTTGCCAAACAACCTGATCCTAACAGATGAATGTGTATTTGAAAGACATCAGTCTCCTCACTGCACTCACTCTCCAATGACTTGAGTTAGTACAGACCTTGACAAATGTTTGTGAAATGGAAGTGATCGCCAGCTTTGCCTTTCTGCCCATTTTAGGATGGAGTGGTCCCTCTCCCCCTCATCCCCTCCCCTGCAGCAATGACCTCTGGCCTCAGGTGTCCTGTCCTCTCTGTGGTCCCAAGGACCCTTGCTCCCTGACTTATTCCTACTAAAGTCTTCTTTTTGCCTTCATATGGTATGAGAGTGCCCTGTTGTGGGGAGCAAACCGGACTAGACTGTTACTGGAATTAAGACTTATTCTATGCATCTGCTCTCCCACAATATGGCGCTGGGAGAGAAGTAAACAGCTTCCGCACAGCTGCCTCCAGTTCAACCAATTAACTGTAGGACTTGCTCCTGATTGGAGAGCAGCGTACTCGGCGTGTGGGCAGCCGAGTTGGGATTGGCAGAGAAGGACTATAAAGGAGGAGAGAGACGGCATGCACCAGGAACATCTATGGGGAACATCTAAGGGAACCCGTGCAGTCCCCGAGAGAGCCGGCCGGCGGTGTGCCGCTCCCCTGCGGAAGTGGGGAATGCGGCCAGGGGGAACTGCCCTTCCGCGGAGGTGGAGGGGATAGTAGCCAACCCGGGAGGAACCAGCGGTAAACCCGGGGAGGGCCGAGCAGACGAAAGAACAGCGCAGGGTCCTGTGTCGTTCCTCCACGAAGAGGGGGAGCGACATAATGGTGCCGTGACTCGGATATGAAGCCTAGGCAG